AACTGCTCCACCCAGGACTGTAGGAAACTACAGAAGGTGGTGTGCACAGCCCAGACCATCATGGAAGCCAACCTTCCATCCATGGACTCTTATTTACACAGCTCATTGCTGCAGAAAGATGGCCAACACCATCAAAGACCCATCGCACCCTGGTAATGATCTCCTATAACCTCTTCGTCAGGCAGAAGATACAGAAGCCTGAACACACACACAAGCAGGTTCAGGAACAGCTTCTTTCCAGCCGTTAGGACTTTAGCATCAAATAATGTAATCTGCAGTGTAACCTGTATGTCTCTAAGTCTTTTTGATCAGTATATCCTTTGCTTGCTGTGATCTGCCTGTACTGCTCAAAAACAAAGCTTTTCACTGTATTTTTGATACACATTGCAATAAATCAATCAATCACATCATTTTATTTCAACTCATCATTTAGGTTCTCATTATCTTACTCTGCCTCCTTATAGGATGCATTGAGATGCAGGGTATTGTAACTGGTTGTTGACTCTGGTAATGACACTGGCTTTAAGCAAGCGGGAAAACATCTGGCTAGAACTTTCTTTTCTATGATTATAACTTCCTGTGGTTGCCTCAGAGGAGAGAATCTGTGGTGGGACAGAAATTGTACCCACACCAAGAATTGACCCCTTCCTCTCACCCCAGCCCAGGATCTTGGGAATGTGAGCATGATTTAAGCAGCGACCCACTCCATGCTGATTTACTAATGGCAGTTGATTACTCTGAAATGGTTTGCTGGTAGGGAGACTGTTTCTTGACACAACCGCAAATCCTAAAATCAGTAAGTTCAGGTTTTGGAATACCAATAGAGCACTTTGCACAGGTGTCCGAAGTCTTCTAAGCACTGGGGGATGAAATGTTGGGAACGTCAGTGCATTTTATCATCCTACTAGTCCCTTTATGTCTCTGCAATGTCTGTTCCACTGGAGTGACTAAGACAGCTATCTCCTGTCACAAATCCCACCCTCACCAGCATTATTATGGCTATGCAAGTACAGCCCTAACCTGCTCTGTTGGATTCCCTTCTAAATCTATTTTTTAAAATAGGCAATTTTCGTCATTTTATATGAGTGACTCAGTATATTTCCAAATCATTTCAATTAACATTTACATACATCTAAAGTGAGAGGAAGAATGAACAAAGACTAAGTGCAGCAAAATGGAGTAAGGAATAACTCACTCCCCATTCGGATAGCATTGACTCTGGCAGTCACCCCCACATCTTGTGTCAGTCCCAGGCTCCTGCTTCTGAATCATTTAGATATATATGAGAGTCAAGGGTTATGAGGTACAGATGAGAAATGAAGTTAACACAAAAACCATATCAGCTGTGTATTGAATGATGGACTCAAAGGACCAACAGCCTTTTCTCTGGCTCCCAAGCCCCATGTTCATGAGGTTTCTGCAATCAATTCCCACTCCAGGGCTTGAAGACAGAAATCAATGCTGACACTGAAATGCAGTGATGAGTGAGCATAAAACTGCAGAAAAGTACCACCTTTCGGAGGAGACATCTGTCTGCTTAGCAGTTGTAGAAGATCCTAAGATATAACTTTGAAGAAAAGGGAGTTAACCCACCCACCCCCATCCCTCAACCATATCATGGTCAATACTTACTCAAGTAACATAACAAAAATAGATTACCTTGTTGTTATTACATTTTTTTGGGTGTTTGTCAAGTACAAATTGGCAGCAGCATTTTCTACAGTCAATTGTGGCGAGATTTCAGAATGCACTTCAATGGCTGTAAAGCACCTTGTGGTCATGAAGTGTGCCGCAATAAATACTGCTATTCTTCCTTCACCATAGCTTCTTCTTCCCTGAATTTCAATTTTCCCACATTGACATTCCCCATTATTGTTCACAATACTCTCTACGTAAATTTTTCATTGCAGCTTGCTACAAATGACAGCACTCCTTTTCTAGAGCAAAGTGCTGGATTCCCACCAGCTGTGATTACGAAATGGCAGTGGAAGCAGGAGTGGAGAACAGCATATTTAAAATGGATAATCTATTAGTTGTGTCTAAGAATACATATGAAAATTAGACAAAAGTGCAATTTGAACCCTCCCCCTAATGACAGCTCTTCTTAAGATAATGTTTGACCTCAATGCCTTATCTTTCACAGGATATGATGTTGCTCATTTCTCCCTCACTAACTGGCAGCTGAACAGTGTTATTTAAATAATTTTATTGCAAATATCTATATTTTCACAGCCTTCAGTAACAGGTTTTTCAGTGTCTAACTACTGTACCAATCTTAATCACAAAGCAGCTGAGCATACAATTGGAAAATTATGGGCTTGTCAAACAAATTATATGGAATATATAGGCCAGAAGCCAGCCAGTTATGCCAGCTTATACTCCTTATATGATTACGACTGCGTGGCCAAATTCAGCTCTAACTCCATTTACAAACTTGCTGATCACACCACCGTAGTGGATCGGATCTCAAACAATGACGAGACAGAGTACACGAAAGAGATAAACAGCTGAGTGGCATGGTGTGAAGACAATAATTTCTCCCTCAATGTCAGCAAAATAAAGGTGTTGGTCATCAACTTCAGGAAGCAGAGTGGATGACATGCCCCTGTGTGTATCAATAGTGCTAAGGTGAAGATGGTTGAGAGGAGTAAATATCACCAATCTGTCATGGTCCATCCACGTCGATGCTACAGTCAAGAAAGCATACCAATGCCTTTACTTCCTCAGAAGGGTAAAGAAATTCAGCATGTCCACAATGACGTTTACCAATTTTCATAGGTGCACCATAGAAAGCATCCTATCCGGATGCATCACAGCTTGATATGGCCATTGCTCTGCCAAAGGCTGCAAGTAATTACAGAATTGTGAATGGAGCGCAATCCATCACAAAAACCATTCCTCCTTCCTTTAGTTCTGTCTATACTTCCTGCTGTCTCAGGAAAACAGGCAACATAGTCAATGACCCCTCCCACCCCGATTATACTTTCTTCCGTAAGGCAGAAGATACAAAAGGTTGAAAACTCATACCAAAAGATTCAAGAACAGCATCTTCCCCACTGTTATCAGACTTATGAACGAACCTCCCATATATTAGTGTTGATTGTTCTCTGCACTTTCTTTGTGGCTGTAATATGATATTCTGCATTCTATTCTATTACGCTGATGTACTTATGCAAGGTATGTTTGGCTGGATAGCACGCAAAACAATACTTTTCACTATATCTTGGTACATGTGACAATAATAAATCAAATCAAAACAAATCAAAATCAGTCTGGGAATTTTCACTCTTAAAATTTTTGTACTTTCGTTTATTTTCCATACTGGATTATTTGATGGCTGCTTTATATCCTTGTCCTCACAAGTGGGAAGACACACATTGTATAAAATTTAAATGTCCAGGACCATGATGAGGTTACCTACAGTGAATAAATGAGACAGCCAGCTTGTGCTTGGTTTTCCGATAGTCTTTGGCTTAGAGATACAGTACTATATTTTTTAATTCTCATTACTTTTTCCAGTTCCTCTATACCAATTGTATTAGGGACAAGATGGATACAAATGTCCAATTGTGCTATACTTAACGGTCATTGCAAGTGTAACATAAATTCTCTTTTTTTTAAATTCTCTTTTTCTCTACAATTAAACTGTGGTGCTTGGTTTGTTCTTTTATTATCCTAAAAACAATTACTGGTTTAAAGTTTTTGAGAAGATTTGTAGCTTGGGTTGTGGATGAGGTTGTAGACATCCTCACCGAGCCGGCGGGTTTGTCGCAAACATTTCATCACCCTGCTAGGTGACATCATCAGTGTGCTTCCGGTGAAGCGTCGGCGTTCTGTCCTGCCTGTTATTTAAGTGCCTTGGTTTGCTGGGGTAGTAGGTATTACTTCTGGTTCTGTTTTTCGGTGGTTTATTGATAGAGTTCCAGTTGGAATACCAGGCCTCCAGGAATTCCCTGGTGCGTCTCTGTTTGGCTTGTGCGATTATGGATGTGTTGTTCCAGTCGAATTCATGTCCCTCGTTGCCCGTGTGTAGTGAGACCAGTGAGAATTGTTCTCAGATACATGAACACCAGCTAGCCACCAAGAGACACGACCAATTCTCACTTGGTCGTGTCTCTTGGTGGCTAACTGGTGTTCATGTATCTAAGACCAATTCTCACTTGGGTCAGTACACATGGACAACGAGGGACATGAATTCGACTGGGACAACACATCCATAATCGCACAAGCCAAACAGAGACGCGCCAGGGAATTCCTGGAGGCCTGGTATTCCAACTGGAACTCCATCAACAAACACATTGAATTAGACCCTGTGTACAAACCACTGAGAAACAAAACCAGAAGCAACACCTACCACCCAGCAAACCAAGGCATATAAATAACAAGTGGGACAGAACACTGCTTCACCGGAGGCGCACTGACGATATTGCCTAGCAGGGTGACAAAACGTTTGCAACAAACCCACCGGTTCGGCGAGCAAGTCTACAATCTCAGTAATTACCGGTTTTCGTGATTTACAAATTTGTACTCCCAAATACTTTAGTTCTCTGTTCTATTTAGATTCTTAATTTCCAAATAACCTGTAACCTCCTTATACTTCCTATCAAGATGTAATATCTTACAGTTATTTAAAATTAATTTTCAAATTATACATCCATTCTGTAAAGTTAATAGTATTGCGTTATCATTTTCTGCACTTTCCCAAGTACTGACCATCTACTCTTCTCTAATTTGATGTCATCAGCAAATTTAGAAACTGTCTTTTGATACTAAAACCTAAACTGTAGCATAACCAACTTTTTATTAAGAAGTATTAAATACAATTTCTCATTATTGAGAAGTGCACAGAAGCATGACAAATTAGCGACCATCAAAACTGAATGTTTGGTATTAATGCTGAAACAATTTGTTCCCTTCCGAAGTAAAATGGGAAGGAATACAAATTGATCAATTAACTTTTAAAACCAAAAAGTATGTAGATGAATCTTGGATGTGCCTACCCTTGCGGTGAGAGTTTATCCAGCCAACCTTCCTTTGTCTTCTTTGCCGCACCATAGAAGCAAGCATATGGTGATATCGAATCATGCTGATTATCTCCTGAGTCATAGATAGGTTCTTCTGTGACATCAGACAGAAGTGAGCAATCCTCTGTATATAAAAAACTCTGCTTAGACGGTGCTTGAAGTTTGCAATAGTCTTTGGACACTGCCTGAACCGTTGACCTCTGCTTGCAAATACTGTTGCTGACTGTAGAATATTCCATTTCTGGCTCTTCGTCTGCTGTATGATGATTTTTGTGTGATAATATCTGCTCAAACTTGTTGTTATTGTTGCACAATTTTGCACCATGGTGGATCCTGTAAATTAGTTAAAACGGTGTTATTTACATCTCAAATGAGAATGACGACATTTATATCATTATCCTTTTATAAAGTAATCTACTACTTTTCCATTAAGAAGCAAAACAATATGCAGGCTCAGCACTCTTGCCTCTGAATCAAAAGGTTTTGGCCTCTGATGCCCCTGCTGCATTTTAGTACAACAATCTCTGTTAAACTCTCTGTGCATTACCGTGGAGTGCTGCACTGTCAGAGGTGCCATCTTCTATTAAGCTATAAACTCCCCATCTTCCCTTTCAGATAAATGTCCCATTGTACATGCAAGTAAAAAAAAGTGCAGGAATTGGTCAATATTTAATCTTCAGTCAACATCATAAAAATAGATGATCTTGGCATAATCACATGCTTTTTTTTGTGCAAGCTTGCTGTGTGCAGATTAGCTGCCACCATTCATATATTTCAAAACGACTGCACTTAAAAATTATTTCACTGGCTGTAAAACACATCGGGACATCCAACTGTGTAGAAATACTGCATAAATGCGAGTCTGTCTTTACATCTGGAGTTTAGACAAGCAATCCACAACTGAAACAATATTCTCAGACATTAACTAAGCCATTGTGTACTTCCAGTAATTTGTACTTCATTTCAAACTATTTTTATCCAACATTACTACGAGGCAAAGGACTACTTTACTCACTGTTTTATTTCCTCATTCTATACTTTTCTCTCATCAGGAACAGTATCCATTTAATACTGGACTCAACCCATTTTTGTTAAAGACATTTCTGAAATAAATGTAGCCAAATATATCTCTGAACTAGCATTTAAAGTTGTTTTTGGACAGTATCTACATGCATAAAACAAAATGGCTTCTAAAATCAAGAAGTTATACGTAGAAATGGATGACGTGATTGGAGACAAATTTACTTGCCTACATGCTTCATTCCAATCCAAGCAAATTGTCTAACAGGATTTCAAAGACTTGATTCCAAGCAGCAATAAAATCATTTACATTGAAATTAAAAGACAGAAGGAGGTCTTTCTAAATAACCAAGGGATTAGCCTTTCTACTGTTTGCAAACAAAAGATCTAGCCACGAAAGCCTGCCAAGCTCCTTTATCTACCATTTCTTCAACTGCCTGCCCAATGTGTCATTGAAAAGTAAACATGAGTTTCAGTTTCACTCAGTAAGTCTATTACTATCTTACAATGCCTCACAACCCTTTATGTAATAAAAACTTCTAAATTTCATCCATTTGGTATTTTAAAAAGTCCCTCATCTTGAACATCTCAATCAATGATTGAATACTGAGTGAATAAGAACTTTCAGTACAGATTCCTATAAGACATTGCTACTGGCATCCAGCCTCTTTGACATCCCCTATTTGCCATCTATAATAATGACCTAGAGGAAGGCCTTCAATGTATAGTTTATTGACAAGAAAATCAAAGGTATAGGGTATAGACAGGAATGTGGAGTTGAATTAGATCAGTGTGATCTTATCGAATGGTGAAGCAGCTTTGAAGGGCTGAATCACCTACTCAAGCTCCTAATTTGTTTGTGTATGAATAGGATGTGGGCAAACTTCAACTTAGGCTAATTGGAAAGAATAGTATGTTATTGTACTGCACATTCTGTGAACACACATTGACAAGAAGGACTAAAATTGAATCAGTGCATGATCTTACACCCACATAGTACAGTGAGCACGCAACACATCAAAAATAGCACTTATACAAAAGGCTCTCAGCAACCAAGATTCCTGTCTCTACCACCAAATGAAGTTTCATTTTACAAAAGATTTGCATACTATAGGTTATGGTTTGTATTCAGGAAAAATGGGCCGTCTGAATTCCATTTTAACAGGTTCATTCACCAAGATGAAGCAATCATAACAGAAACACAGTAGGTCTGGCAGGATCTGTGGAAAGAGAAACAAATAAACTTCTGAAGAGTCATATTCAAGTGTTAACTCCATTTTTCACTCCACAGATACTGCCAGACCTGCTGACCCGAAACGTCAGCCTTCCTGCTCATATGCTGCTGCTTGGCCTGCTGTGTTCATCCAGCTCTACACCTTGTTATCTCAGATTTTCCAGCATCTGCAGTTCCTACTATCTCTGCTGAGTTTCTCTCCTCTTTGTTTTGTTTTAGAAAGCTAGCATCTGCAGTATGTTCTTTAATTTTATTTAACATACAATTTTTCTGGAAAGACAGACCAGAGGTACTTAATTTAAGAAGATACACTCTGCTGGGCAATTTTACAGGATAAACAAATAAACCATTCAAAGGTAAAACTTTAAAACTGCTTTCAAATAGCTTTGTACTAAAAACAAGATAAAAACAAGGCCAAAGTCCACTTAACACTTCCACGGATAGGAGGATATTTTTAAAATGCTAAAATTTGTCTAGTAACAGTGGGTTCAATGCCATTTCTATTATACAAGAACTGTATTATTATTCATCTTACGTTGATTGTACTCATTCTGTTGATGTCACACAGTCTGTGGGTGGTAACTGGGAGATTTATTCCAGCTATCAAAAGATGATGTATGTATACCAGTTCCCTAAGGTTCTGGAATTATGCCTGATGATCAGTTACACTCATTGCTATCAGGCACCAAACCTTCTTGATAAGAACAGGAGATACTCTACAGCAGTGTATCCACTATGATGCAAATCACTCGATAGGCTAGAGAAAGACAGCGGCAGCTTCTCTCAAACAACCTTTACCCAGTACCATGCGCTGCTAAAGATGGCTAATACCACATTATGCTAGCAGTGGCCAACAAGAAAATACCGCAATTTCCCACAAATTTATGGGAGGCAGAGGCGGAGGTGGTGGAGGACACCAAAGGGGCAAGTAATTTTTAGGGGACATGGTGTTCGAGTTATTGGTCCGTTTTCCTTTTCGAATCCAAAATTTTAATATTAAGAATTCTGAAAATTCCATTAGATGCCTCACAGCACCAAGGAACTGACAATGTCACCTCTCCTCTGGGCACAGGAAGGCACCCAGAGAAACTAAAGGCAATCATGCAAGTGTCACAAAAGCTTATTGTTTTACCTACCCTACCAAAACATAGCAAACAGCTAACACTGGACCTGGAAGTGGCAAGGTGCTTGTCAGAGAAATTCTCAGCTCACCAACACCGTTTTGCAACAGTTCAAGTTCAAGACACTCCAGGACATTAGGGAAATATTGAAAATTAATTTTGAGTGAAAAAAAGTAAACAACTGAGTTCCTTTCCAAACGTGTAATGCAACCAAATCTATTTGTTTACATTTCTACATTGGAACAACCTATCTTAAATAAACTAGGAGTGGAATAAGGGAGGAAAACTAGTCTTAAACACACAATAAAGTACTAAGTAAAAGTATATTTGAAATCAGTTTGTAAAATAGCTTCTACTCCAATGTACATTTTATTATTTGAACACAGATCACTGAGGCAAGGAGCAGATACTTAATCCTCCCGAATGGCAGGAACATGTCTGGTTACAGTCAGGAAATTCCTTATAATTCCTGATGAACAGTCTCTAGTGTTAATAGCTTCCTGGTTTACATCACAGTGGATAATTGCTATTACAACCTCATTATACCTTCATCTCTTACCGTCCTGGAGTATTTTACATGTACAGCTCTTCCTGGCAAGTTCACCCAATTAGTTCCTTAATTAAATGGTGTTTTACTCAGGTAACTGCAAAATTAACAAAAACTAAGGAAAGGAAAAAAATTGCACAATATCTGAATGCAGAGTCTTTGGTAGAGCCAAAAATACCTCGATACCCAAAAGAAATTGTACAAGTTAAATATAATCTGATCTTCCATCCTTGAAGATGTAACTAACCAGACATACGGTTCCCATATTTTCTACTTCTTTCAAATAAATCTTTCAGATGTGAATGGATTGTTTAATATCTTGTTGACATTATAGAGTCACATTCAATGAAAATGTTATCGCTGTATAATTTAACAGATTGTGCGTTGAATTTGCTCAGTCTGTATTAGATGAATATTGAGACCAAATAACTGTACATATATGCAAAATTTACTGTCACTTATTAACAGCCACGAACCAAACTTTGAATATTTCTCAAAATTGAGAAGATCAAAAGCGTTAACATTTAATTGCAAACATAGGTGGATAAATATAGGGAAAGAACATTATAATATAAAAAGTTATTTGTGGCAGATTATTTAAATTTTTAAACATTCCTTATAATAGAATAAGTTCAAATAGTATGAATTGTTAATACCTTAATTCATTGTTTGTCTCTTGGTCGCTATTCTCTCTTGTTGATGTTTCGACACCATGTTGAAGATGGCTGTTTAAAATCTCCTGATAAAGAATTTTTAAAAAAAAATCCAATGACAGATGTTACATATTTTAACAATTGAAAGAATATAACATGAATTTTAAATTAATAAATGGTAAATATTTGTAGAAACAGTTAATTAGTCAAACATCTATGGCAGTGTATTTCTCGACTAAATGTTTTGGCTTTTTCTGCCTCAATTTCAGGGCCCCTTCTGCTCCCATCCATTCAATCCACATAAATTACAGATCATCAGTTCTATTTTCTTTATAAGTCTGCGACATCATCACAACAAACCTTAGATACAAGCTGGTAATTATAAAAGTAGGTCTTGAATGGAGGGTGATAACAGTTCATGCATTTAACCCGAACAAATCTATGATGTGAGGAAACATACTATATTTCTTATTTTGTATAATTCCAAAATTGTATAATTGCTAAAAGACAAGTTGAACTGACTGAACTAAATGTGTTAAATTCTAACTCCTGTTCTGTGTATTTTCTTGCGATGAAATAAACCGCACAATGAGTTGTATCTGGCCTTGTCTTGATCAGCCTTCAAAACCATTTCAGAGGCACACGAGGCACAGAAAAGTGTAGGAATATCCAGTTCAGATCACATAGTATTGTTGCAACCCAGTCACACAACAACATAGTTAGACATTGGACAATATAAATACATTCCAACAGAAGGTGCTACACTATTAAAAGACATTTGGATAAGTACATGATTAGGAAAGTTTGGAGGGATATGGGCCAGGGGCAGGCAGGTAGGGCTAGTGTAATTTGAGATTATATTCACCATAGACCAGTTGGACCTAAGGGTCTCTGTCTGTGCTGTATGACTCTATGACTACTTACTGGAGGGACTAGCACCTCTGTACCCAAATAAATTTTTTAAGGCAGATCTACTACTTTCATGATCAAGAAGTCATCAATTCTACGACACATATTGAACAATATATTGTTACTGCAACAGAATACCATAACTAAGTGCTTGCCAACTTGTGATGGTAATTCCATTATTCATTTGTCTGTCCTCTTGGTTTGGCAGCGCTAAGAATGGTTTACAACATTCCATGCAAATACCATGTAGCTCACCCAATAGTTCTATTCATGTGTCTACTGAGGTCTATTGGATGGATACTGCAGATTATCATCTTTAAACTAAATGGCCAAAACAATGTTAGCAAACTTATTGACTGCAGTGACTCTGGTCCCTGATGTAACACCTAGCAAATAAATGTTAATGCAGGCTTTGTTTATAATATTTTGACAATAAAATCAGCTAGTAAAATAGCTTCCACTCCCATGTACATTGTACTGTTTGAACAGAGATCACTGGGGCAAGGAGCAGACATTTAATCCTGCTTACTTCTAGGAACATGCCTGGTTCGTCAGGGAATTCCTGACCATTCCTGACAATTGAATTTTGACAAATTCAGGATTCCACCAAATGAAAAAAAAACCTAGTCAACAAAGTCTCTGGATAGTTTAAATTAGGCTGTTGTATTCAAAGGATCAAGGTTTAGTAAGCAATTCCCTAATAACTTGTGTAACAAAGATACCAACAGCGTATTCTCCTGGGGTTGAGTTACATTTGAAGTCCAATCATACCAATAATCTAATGAAAAACATATCAATATTGTAAAGTTTAACAGCCTCCCCACATAGAATACTCTGTCATTCAGGAACTTTAACAAGATGACACACATATAAGTCATTCAGTTAGTCATATTTTAAATATGTTTTTGTTTTGTCAATTTAAACTCACCTGATCATCTTCAGGACTATGGTACAGGTACATTTCCCCATATGGGGTGATAGGGGGTGGCTTATTTTCATCTACTGTTTGGAAGAGGGAAGAATGAAATGTTTCAAATTAATTGACCCTTGATGCTTAGTAATATGTTGAGTAATAACCTCTACGTTAACAAATCAATACTAATTATTGCAGTTACGATTTGAAAATAATGATAATCCTGGTAAAACTAATATGGACAGAGAAGTTAGCATGTAGAGAATAAAGAGGAAACAATGAAGTGTGAACATAATTTTAAACCTGTGAACAAAATTCAACAAGTTTAAGCAATTCACCTCGACTCTGTATATTAACACGTCAACTGTATAATTGCATCTGTAAAACATATTAAGATACCGAAGTTGGAGATTTGTTTGAAAGCGGCTCAGACGTTAAATAGAACCAGTTTCACAGTCATACTGCCATGACAACCAAAAATCTGCCCTTAAAACATTTTGGCATCGACAAGCAGCAGAAATGGCAATTCATTAATCAAGTGTTGAAAAACACATTGGTAATTGTCAAGAGATGCAGAGAAATTGCAGTCTCAGCTACATCGTCTGCATCCTAAATAAGCTAAAAAGCACCACGAATGTGATGAAAACAGACATCAGGGAAAGGGATTTATACTGGAAATTAATACACAAAAGATAAATTGAAAATTACTCTACAGATGTAAAACTGATGGTCCAAAAACCTAATTGGTGTAGGAGACACCATGTAAACAGGGCACGCAGTTCAAGAATATGAATTCTGAAGTTTAAATGTTATGCACAGATATTCAGTATTATCTTTTCTTGATCAGTTAATACACAACAGTACAGATACAGGGTCTCAAGAGAATCAGTAATAGAGAATAAATTAGCCAAGATTTTCTCCACAGTATGCTCTCTCTTCCTTTCTTTGCTGATTCATAGTCAGGTATGGTTTCACTGAGTGCCCTTCTGTCTCCAGCATCTCAACTGGTTCACAAGAGACAAAATAATAGGTATTAATTGGTCTATCATATTAATATCACAGCCAGGATAAATTCTGCCTTCAAAAGACCTAAACAAGCCTGCAGAGAACTGCTGAATAATACTCAAAATGGAAACACTGGCATTCCCTAGATCTGCGAATTGAGGTTACCCTCCTATCACCCTTCACATTTCATTGTCTATTTTAATTAGTGTTGGCTACTAGATTCAAAATGACATAATTAAGAAAATAAAAGTAAGTATGACTATGACTCTACGAAAGAAAATACAGCAGTGGATGCTAGGTGCACAGATCAGATGGATAGACAGACCAAATTTCAAGAAAAGTTGTGAGCAAGTGGAAAGAGTAACCTGAGAATAATACATGCTATTCCCCACCAGTAAAATGGCCAAGATTCTTCTCTGTGCCCAGAAGATGCAAAATTGCACGCAAGATGAAAAATCTTTCACAACATGTCACTCTTTTCAGCAATATTTTAGTTCTGGCTTATCCTGCGATTATCTGAATGTTAGGCAAGTTTGAGACAAAGATGTTCGTCAGGGAACATGGTGGTTTACATTTTAACACACCACCGTGTTCCCTGGCCAACATCTCTGTCTCATGCCTGATGCAGTGCTCCAGCAAAGCTCAGCACAAGCTGGAATAACACAGCGCCTCATTTTCCGCTTGGGGACCCTGCAGTTTTCTGGACTTAATATCGAGTTCAATAATTTTAGGGCTGAGCACTTCTTCCCATGTCCTTATTCCAAACTCTACACACCAGGCCTTGTCAGCACATGGGCTGCTACCACAAACAATTCATTGTCAGCTCCTAATGGTCCCATTAGCCGCTATTGATTCTCCCAGGATGACCTTTCCAATTCCTTTGTCTGTCCAACTATTAATCTCTCTCTCTGGGCTCCATCTCCACATATCATTTACTCCACGATCCCCAGACTGCCCAGTAGTCCAATTGAGGCTGAACTAGTGTTTCCTACAAGTTTAACTTAACCGCCTTGCTCCTGTACTTTATGCCCCCGTAAATGAAGCCTAGCATACAGTGTGTTTTATTAACCATGCCTTTCAACCTGCCCTGCCACTTTTGGTGACATACAGACATCTACACCCAGGTCTCTCTGCTTCTGTACGCTGTTTAGAATTATACGCTGTGTATTATATTGTCTCTCACTGTTCTTCTTCCCAAAATGAGTCACCTCACATATCTCTGTATTGAATTTCATCTGCCACTTGCCCACCCAATCCACCAACTTCTCTGTGCTCTTTTGAAGTTTCCACTGTTTCTCACTGGTATGGTGTGCCAATTATAGCAACTATCGTACTGTCCAAGAACGCCAGCTATTTCAGACATCACAATGGTTCAAATATTAAGTAGACCTGTTAGAAACTTCAAGCTTAAATCATTCAAAACAGAAATCTACAGCTGGTGTTCCACTGATTAAATGAAGGCCATTGGAAAGGTAGGAACTGATGTCTTTAAAATATTGAATCACTACTAACAGTGAAGCATTCACCACATCTAAATACAGGTCTGCTGAGACTGAACTCACTATAGACTGCAACCTTGAGAAGTGAAAATAATGTGAAAAATAGATTGTTGAAGGGAATATAATATATAATAGAGTATACCGTACACTAATTTTACCGCCTTCAAAACACCAAGGCATGTGTTGAGACAAAGGTCCACCAAGCTAGGTTTTACTGTGCTATCATCATCAACTATAAATTCAGCCATTAGATTGCATGAAATCAGCCATCTCCAAATCACAATTTTAAACCTGCATCATTGTCTTTTTAATAGATTTCAACAAAAGCCAAGGATTACAACACACTTAGATTAAACTGATTTATAAAAACCAGCATGAGTAAAAACATCATAAATTCAGTCTTAGATTGGCTGTTCCTGAGGATAGAGCGATGTGATTTTACCACTAACACTTTATTTTAAAAGCATAGAAAATAGGAGCAGAAGTAGGCCATTCTCCCCATCAAACCAGCTCCAGCATTCAACATGTCTGACGCTAATTGGTTCTGCAGTTCAAGCTTCTATTTTGCTAGAAGTTGAAACGTTACTTAAAACGTACATACCAGCCAATGGTAGATTTTGTGGAACATCACAAGTGGAGATATGTGAAAGGTTGAGGTTTCTTCTTTTCAGTAAGGAACTGTGGTTAAAAGCATGTGAAAATATAAAACTAATGTTTTAAAATTGCACTTAATTGTTGAAAGTATTGATTAAATCTCTACACAAACAAATTTACCATTAGTGTACAAGTTCGGACTATTGCAATTATAACCACTTCTTTAAAAAAAATACTGAAAACATTCAAATTCACAAAGGACATAATTCACATACGAGTAAGTTTCTGTAAATAAATCATTAAACGGCTATTGGTTATTTCACTTGGTTTCTGTAAACCACAACTGCTTGTTGTGGATTGTGCATTTAATCATACATATCGGTACTGGTCTTAAATAATTTTTATCTAAAGTGCACCTTGCAAATCCCCAAAATGCATCACACTCAATTACATTTGAACCACAGTCATCGGCAGGAAACAGAGCAATAAGTGGCACTATATAAGGTCTCAAACAGGAACTATGCAATATTTCATCTGAAAAAAAATGCCTTCAATATCAGAGGACTCCTTCAGTGACATACTGAAGGCCAGATATTGGGGCAAATGTTGTAAGAAGATTAAGGCTAAAGCCACCAGTACCTTACTGTTATAATGGTAAATCAGACAGCATTCGTGTATATGCAGTCATTGGGAAACTGCTAGTCGAGATTCTCCACAGGAGGTATTGTTTCAGCCCTAAGTAACATAAATGCAACAATGTGTACTGTGGGTACTTTCTGACTAAGTCCACATTTCAGATGCCAGAAGCAATTCAGACTGGTGCATGTAGGTGTAGGCGAATTTTAAATGAAACAGTAAATCAAAATTGCTGACAAAGAGCCTGTCTTCGATTCTCTCCCCGTGGCTTCAGTAAAGACCCCATGTGACACAGTCAATTCAATTAAAATTCAGGCTATGAATTCAGTCTAGGGGAAGAGCTTTTATTCTGGTTGAAAGAAGAACTTTGCTGTAACCCGCCACAGAAACTACCATTCCCTTTTAGAGAGCTACCCGCTGTTTCAAACCCCAGCCTCAAGAACATCGACATTATAAAGCTGGTGAAATGTACATAGACAGCCATCAGGAAGGTGGGCTGTGGGTCATCATTCCTCCTTAGAATGGTCACAAAATCTGGGCCTATATGCTCGAGAAGAGTACAAATGGAATCAACAACTATCTTATTCTGAAGTTACGTGACTGAGTCAAGCAAAAAGATATTAAAAACACTACTATTTTAAATTTTAGTTTATCATATCATCCATGAGGTATAAAAATTGCACAACAAGTAGTCTAGATTGTCTGCTCACGTTTAGATATCTTGTGTCTTGGAAAGGTCAAATATCCCTGCACACTTCGTTAAGAGGCAAAAATACCCTTGATGATCTCATAGCTATTGGTTTTGCACAATAGTCAAACTAACAGGCTACGTGCTACAAGATGAATGGGAATTCCTCTATTTGGTAAAGCATGCTATCACCTTCCATAATATTAAATATTGGTCAAAGTAGATGCAAAGAAAACCAGTCACCAATTTATGCAACATCAGAAGGTACTGATTGGTTGGACCATTAGTGAATTGGAGAAATAGCCAGAACAGATAACTGTCAACCTTCGTGTTCAGACCAGGCCTGTAGATCTGATTGGTCAGGGCATTGACAGGAGAATGCAGAGACCGGTAGTCTCCTAGACTCCTCCTTTTCCAATGAAAAACGTGCAATGTATGAAAAGAAAATTGCCTTGGTCTCCATAAAACAGGGTGCCGTGACAGAATATATATGCTGATGCAGGTATGATGAATCAAATGGCCTCTTTCTACATCCTGACAATTCTGTCTATTATAGCTTCTAGCATGCACAAAAACATCACACTGGGAGCTCGACTAATGATCTTTAATTGGTTCCTGATGCACTTTCAATATTCACAACAGAATTCAATGAGTTGAAAAAAAAATCTATGACAGAGAACATCATTGGTAAATGACATAAATCACTCGATGTGAATAAAACTTTAAAATGTAGAAGCATAAAATAAAAATTTTAGAACAGATCAAAAAGAAAAATTCACCTGCATTTGTTTCTTCAGTTTCACCAGGGAGTACCACACAGATTTCCCATTTACAGGACAAGAGGTTTTCTCCTGTGTCATATGGGTGATGGGGAAAGTCAGGACCGTTGCTGCAATGTTCTTCTGTTCAAAATTTTTGCACATTGCATCGAGGCGCACGCGCACATGAAAAAAGTTTGTACACAATATATTCGGTGCCTGGTACTTGTGAAAACCTAGACTACCAAGTAATCAACACATTCTTAGGAATGTTTGGGCAAATGTACAACAGACAGAGAAAAAAAAAAAATCAGCTCCAGGGCTGCAAGCCAATTTAAGCAACAAGCCCAATCAAAGATTTCAACAGGGAATTTGGATTCTGTGGCACATTTCCAAGCTAATGGAATGTTCCTCTTTTATCTCAAGGGAACTGAATTACAAATAGGAGTACATTAATGATTCAGTTGCACAGATCCTTGAGCAACGCCACCGGGAGAATTGTGTTCAGCTTTCGGCACATACCACAGGAAGGATATTTGGGTTTGGAAGGATTAAACACAGGTTATGATTCAGGTGAATTTAATGTTTCTCCAGCAATTTTTGTTTTTGCCTGAGGTTTGAAGGGTTGAAATTAAGATAATCGGGTGCTTAAAAGTGGCTTCAATATCATGTTGTAAGTACTAATCTGATTGAGGTCTGAAGGATTGAGGTCCTTCAGAAAGTATTCACTAGAGAAGAAGAAAACACAATTTCCTCTGATGAGGAAAGCCCAGTTCGAAAGGGTATCAGCCCACAATTAGGGCTAGTCGTTTTGTCACCCAGCACTTGTTCAAGACAAAAGATGTCTCTCCATTAGCTGCTAGTGTTCTCTTTTCATCCTCCCATTGTCTTCAGGGAATTTCTCCTCTCAATTTCACCTTCTCCCAAAGTAGCATGAATGTTGGAACAATTGAGCTTTTATGCCAGGCAACAATGGATTATTTTTTGGTGAGGATTCCAAGAGAGATAGAGTGAAGGCAAGCAAATGGTCCTGAAGTACAGATCAACCGGGATCTTATTGAGAGGAGGAGATTATACAAAGGGCTGAATGGTCCACATCAGTTCCTCTAAACCTATACTCCTATTCATACATATTTATGAACAGAGTGTAGCATTGACAATTTTCATATGGTGTAGGAACAGCACTAATTTAGAAAGTAGCCCTTTGGGATCATAATATTATCATCTTTGACCAGGAATTGAAGGAAGTGCTGCATTAGGATAGAAAAAAAAAGAGATTGCAAGCCAATATCCAGTCCGAAACCCATTGCAAGTTGGCCATCTAACCTGCTGTGAGCCTCACAGTGAGTGTCTAAAATCCACTACCACAGTGCAGGCAGCTACCACCAGCAGAAACAGAGAAGTCAAACTCCTTCTGGTTACAACAGCAACAGCAGGATTCTATTTGAGTGCAAATAGGTATCTAGATACAAGAAACAGCACTGGAACAGACAGGACAGCTAGAACAACTAAACAGTACACAAGAAGCAGAAAAATGGGAATAGTCATGCTCCACCCTTGTCCAGTTGATACGAAAATTTCAGATAAAAGCTGGCATGTTAACTTAGCCAACTAACTACATCCCCCAGATAACAAGGTGTAGAGCTGGATGAACACAGCACGCCAAGCAGCATCAGAGGAGCAGGAAGGCTGACGTTTCGGGC